ATGAGTGAACTCCCATTCACAATTGTTACAAAGAGAGTAAAATACCTAGGAATACAACTTACAAGAGATGTGAAGAACCTCTTCAAGGAGAACTACAAACTACTGCTCAAGGAAGTAAGAGAGGACACAAACATGGAAAAACATTCCATGCTTATCGATAGGAAGAATCAATATTGTGAAACTGGTCATACTATGCAAAGAAATTTATAGATTCAATGCTATTCCCCTCAAGCTACCACTGACTTTCTTCACAGAACTAGAAAAAAAACTACTTTAAATTTCATATGGAACCAAATAAGAGCCTGTATAGCCAAGACAATCCTAAGCAAAAAGAACAAAGCTGGAGTCATGCTACCTGACTATACTGCACTGCTACACTAACCAAAACAGCATGGTACTGGTGCCAAAACAGATACATAGACCAATGGAACAGAACAAAGGCCTCAGAAATAACACCACACATCTACAACCATCTGATCTTCAATAAACCTGACAAAAGTAATGGGGAAATGATTCCCTATTTAATTAATGGTGCTGGGAAAACTGGCTAGCCTCAAGCAGAAAACATAAACTGGACCCCCTCCTTACACCTTATGCAAACAATATCTCATGATGGTTTAAAGACTTAAAATTAAAAGCCAAAACCATAAAAACCCCAGTAGAAAACCTAGACCAGCACCATTCAGGACATAGGCATGGGCAAAGACTTCATGACTAAAACACCAAAAGCAATTACAACAAAATAGACAAATGGGATCCAGTTAAAACTAAAGAGCTTCTGCATAGCAAAAGCAACTATCATCAGAGTGAACAGGCATCCTACAGAATGGGAGAAAATTTTTGCAAGCTACCCATCTGACAAAGGTCTAATATCCACAATCTGCAAGGAACATAAGCAAATTTACAAGAAAAAAAGACCCCATCAAACAATGGGTGAAGGATATTAACAAACACTTGTCGAAAAAGACATTTATGTGGCCGACAAACATATGAAGAAGAAGCTCATCATCACTGGTCATTAGAGAAATGCAAATCAGAACCAAAAGGGATAGCATCTCACACCAGTTAGAATGGCGATCATTAAAAAGTCAGGAAACAACAGATGCTGGCAAGTTTGTGTATAAACAGGAATGCTTTTACACTGCTGGTGGGAGTGTAAATTAGTTCAACTATTGTGGAAGACAGTGTGGCAGTTCCTCAAGGATATAGAACCAGAAATTCCATTTGACCCAGCAATCCCATTACTGTGTATATACCTAAAGCATTATAAATTATTCTACTATCACATGCACACATATGTTTATTGAAGCACTATTTACAATAGCAAAGACTTGGAACCAACCCAAATGCCCATGAATGATAGACTGGATAAAGAAAATGTGGCACATATACACCGGGGAATATTATGCAGCCATAAAAAAGAATGCGTTCATGTACTTTGCAGGGATATGAATGAAGCTGGAAAGCATTGTCCTCAGCAAACACAGGAACAGAAAGGCAAACACTGCATGTTTTCACTCATAAGTGGGAATTCAACAATGAGAACACATGGACACAAGGAGGGGAACATCACGCACCAGGGCCTGTCAGGGGTGGCATGTAAGGGCAAGGAGAGCATTAGGACAAATACCTAATGCATGCAGGGTTAAAACCTAGATGACAGGTTGATAGGTGCAGCAAGCCACCATGGCACGTGTATACCTATGTAACAAACCTGCATGTTCTGCACATGTATCCCAGAACTTAAAGTAAAATAAAAATTAAAATTAAAAAACTGTCATCTGCAAATAAAGAAATAGTGCTGGAAAAACTCGATATCCATGTGCCAAAAATAAGTCACCCCTGTCTCTTACCATATACAAAAATCAACACAAAATGGACTAAAAAAATGTAACACCAAACACTATGAAACTGGTGGACAAAAACATAAATGTTTCAGTACATTTTCCTGGGTAAAGGTTTTATGGAGAAGACCTCAAATGCATAAGCAAGAAAGGCAAATATAGACAAATGGGATTATATCAATCTTAAAAGCTTCTGTATTGTAAAGGAAACAGTCAACAGAATGAAGAGAAATCCGGCAAAATGGGAGAAAGTATTTGAAAACTATTCATCTGATAAGAGACAAATGTCCAGAATATATAAGGAGCTTAAACAATTCAGCAATTAAGAATCCAATTTAAAAATGAGTAAATGAACTGAATAGACATCTCTAAAAGAAGACATACAACTGGCCAAGAAGTATATGAAAAAAAATGCTAAACATTTAGTCATCATTAGAGAAATGCATATCAAAACCACAGTGAGATCCTATCTCACCCCTGTTTGAATGACTTTTGTCCTAAAGACAGGCAATAATGGATGCTGGTGAGGATGTAGAGAAAGGGGAACCCTCATACACTGTTGGTAGAAATATACATTAGTTTAGCCACTGTGGAGAACAGTATGGAAGTTCCTCAAAAACATAATAGTTCCCCCTCAAAATTTATATGAAAAAGGACAAGAAGAGCTAAGACAATCTTGCAGAACAACTACACTTGGAAACAGATACTACCAGGTCTTAATATTTACTATAAAGCTATAGTAATTTGGTTAGTATGGTATTGGCCAAGGAAACAAGCCAGTTAAACAGAATAAAGTTTGGAAATAGCTTTACACATACCAGACTTTCATTCAAAATAAAGAAAAATGAATTTTGATCTCTACCCAAACTACTCTCATATGTAATTTCTGCATTGATTGCATATCTAAATGTTAAGGTAAAGCTTTTAGAATAAAACTTGAGGGAAGACGTTATGAGCTTATAGTAGGCAGGATGGCTTAAACGGGACATAAGCACTAATCATAAAGGAAAAAAATGATAAACTGGGCTACTTCAAAATGAAAGAACTTATGTTTTTAAGACACCATTAAGAAAGTAAAAAGATAAGCTATGGAATGGAGAATATATTTGTAATCTTGCAAAAATCTAGAATATTTGAAGAATGTCTTCAAATTAATAACTAAAACAATTGTCCATTAGAGAAACAGGTCACTTCACAAAAGGGGGTATTTAAAATGCTTAGTAACTGTAGAAAAGAGTGTTCAGCTTCATTGTTTATCAGGTAAATGGAAATTCAAATCACAGTGAAATACTACTACATCCACTGGCTAGAGTGAAAAGCATAACTCCAAGTGTTGACAAAGATGTGGAATAACTCTCATACATTGCCTGTGGGGAGTAAATTGGTAAGATTACTTCAGAAAATGGTTTGACATTTTATTCTAGATCTGACTGATACAGACCTTATGAGTCATCAGTTTTACCTGTAGGTATATCCATCAGAAATGCCTATACCAAGAAGACCTTTTCAACAATGTTTGTAGCAGCACTATTTATAATAGCCAAATAATGAACAACCCAGATACTTCATTTAATAATAGAAAGCATAGCCAGGCACGGTGGCTCAAGCCTGTAATCCCAGTACTTTGGGGGACCAAGGCAGGTGGATCATGAGGTCAGGAGATCAAGACCATCCTGGCTAACACGGTGAAACCCCGTCTCTACTAAAAATACAAAAAATTAGCCAGGCGTGGTGGCAGGCACCTGTAGTCCGAGATACTCAGGAGGCTGAGGCAGGAGAATGGCATGAACCTGGGAGGCGGAGGTTGCAGTGAGCCGAGATCGTGCCACTGCACTCCTGCCTGGGCAACAGAGCGAGACTCCATCTCAAAAATAAATAAATACATAATAATAGAAAGCATAAATATATTGTGGCATACTCATAAAGTGAAATGGTATATGTCAGTAAGAATGAACTAACCAAAATTACCCACAGCAGTAAGTATGAATCTCACAAACCCAGTGGTAAGCAAAAGAAGCCAGACATAACAGAAAATATACTGTATGGTTATATTTTTATAATTTTTTTTAAAAAACAGGCAATATGATTTCATACTGTTAGAAGTCAGGATTTGGGTCCCACATGGAGCCTGGGAGTAGTGACTTAGGGGTTTAGGGGTTGTTGGTTATATACACAATTCTCACTTTTTGCAGTACCATATTAACTGAAACTTGTGTGTATCAGAACTTTGTCCTTACTTGGATTTGATGTTTCCACAGAACTGTGCAAAATGAAGACACTTATACCAATATGCAAAGTGAGGAGTACTTGTGTTGCTTGATTTGTGTTCTGGTTACACGAGTATATTCACTTTGTGAGAATTATTTAGCTGTATACTTATAATTTGCACAGTCTTCTGTATGTATGTAGTACTTGAATAAAAACAGTATTGATTATCTTCCTTTCATGCACTCATTCTCACCATTCTATGCCTCTTTCATGGTATGTCTTTATTCTTATTATTGTTCCTTGCTTATTTGCCTGTCTCTGCCTATAACTCTACAATCCATTCAATGGATAAGGATTATGAATTGTTCATCTTTGTATTATTTACTGTACCTCCCATGGGCCCTTACACATAGTAGGTAAATAAATATTTACAGAGTAAAATATTAAAAATTAATTAAGTGAAACTTTAGAATTCAGAGGCTTGAGTTATGCTTTAAAATTACTCTTTAATATGTATGTGATCATAAATACTTTCTCCCTTCAAAAAGCCAGAATATTACAGATGCTTTTAGTGATCCCTTTGACCGCCTTCCTTCTCTGTCCTATTTTCTTTTCTCCACCCCTAGAAATAACTTCTTTGTTTGTTATGATATATCTATTTTGATACATATAAATTTAATTAATTTCTTGAACTACTTATGGGATTCTATTGTATCATTTTTTATTTATTCTGTTAAAAGACATTTTGTTAGCTATGTTTTATAGTAAAGGCACCACTGAAAAACCTCGCACATCTTGTGTTTGAATGTTTCTCCATATGCCATAGATACAAAATTTCTGGTCATGCTACGAATGCTATAGGTCTTTTAACTTTGCTTATGGTGTCTTTAGCTGTATAGAAGTTTTAAATTTGGATGTTGTAAAATGTGTCAGTCTTTCCATTTATAGGTTTTGCTCCTGGTGTCTTCCAGCTAACAAATGTAATTTGAGCAAAAACGTATGGCAGGCGCTGCTTGAGAAATTTGCAAACAAAACAGACAAAAATTTCTGCATTTGTGAAGTTAAGAAAGCATTGTCTAACTCAAGGTCAATAATGCATTTTCTTGCAATAATTGTTAAAATTTTAACAACATTTGGATTTTTATCTATATTTTTCCATTTAGTATGTGCTAGAATCTAATTTTGTTTGTTATCCAGTACTATTTGTTGGATAGCAGTACTGTGTCCATTCGATTATAATTCCTCTTCTTTTATATGCCACATACCTATAAATGCTTGAATCTATTTCTGGGTTTGTTATACTGTTGAGTTTGTTACTGTACCTATAGCATACTGTTAAAATTGCTGTAGCATTGTGGTGTTTTGCTATGTAGTAAGCCAAGTTCTTCTCTTTCTTTTTTCTTTTCCTTTTTTTTTGGTGAGATTATCTTGGCTAATTTTTCACATTTACTCTTTCATGGAACTTTTATAAATTATTCTATTGGAACTTCATTTTTGAGTGCAATGAAGTTGTAGTCAATTTTAGAGAGCTGACATACTCAAAATATTGACCATTGCACCCATAGATGAATGCTATAGTACCATGTTTGTTTAGATTTCCTTTTATATCCTTTAGTAAAACTAATTTTCTCAATAAGCTCCTGTACCATTTTTTGTTTGCTTTATTCTCCAGATATTGTTTGTCATAGTAGTGAATAGGATTTTTTATATTACATTTTCTCATCATTGCTGGTATTTGAAAAAGCTAGTAATTTTTTTTTTAAGTGTTCATTTTCTGTCTGGTGACTTTTAGTGTATTCTCTTACTAGTTCTAATAATTGGTAGATTTTACTGAGTTTTTAGGTAAATGGCCAAATTGTTTGTAGATAATAATAGCCTTGCATCTTGCTTTTCAACCTTTAAATTGTAATTGATGTAGATTTCTGGCAGATATTTTTATCAAATTAAGAAAAGTTCCTCAAATTTCTAATTTGCCAATGGTTTTTATTATGCACAGGTATTAAATTTACCAAATGCTTTTCAATATAAATTGAGATTATTATTTTTTCTTTTTCTCTCATTATGAGTGACATAAATAGATTTTCTAAGGTTATGAAAATTTAATTGCATTTAATATTAAATCACTATCAATTTTGGCTAGAATGATGTGAGAACACATTTTAAGATGCACATTCTCTTATAGAAAGCTGTCTGCCAAGGAGAAGGAGACGACACATTTGAAAACCTCGTGTTTGACCAAAGGTAAAGTATTAACCAGAATAATATCATTTTCTTAGTTATATTTAATTGTTATTAAAGTAATTCTTTTAGTATCAGGAATGTTTGTTTCATGATCTGCTGTTATTAAACTTAAATGCTTTGTTCTTGAATTGACAAGAAAAAGCAAGTATTACAGGGTCTACAAAATTAGTTCTCAGACAGGAATGATTTTACCCCTGTTTCACCAGGAGATATTTGGCAATGTCTAGAAACATTTTTGCTTGTCACTACTGTGGAAAGTGAGACTGCTGCTGCCATCTAATGGGTAGAGGCCAAGGATGCTGTTAAACATCCTTCAATGCACAGACTAGCCACTCCACAACAAAGAATTTTTCAGTCCAAAATATTAATTGTGCAAATATTTAAAACTCCTGGTTTTGGAAAAAAGGGAAAAGTTTTGATTGCATGAGTAGACTAAACATAAAATTTTTATGTGTAATTTATTTCACTTGTTATATATTTATTAAACTAGATGGAACAATATGCTATATTTTTATTGTCTTTTTTTTTTTTAGCTTTTTAGCTCCTCTTATAACTGAGTATGATAAACATCTAGGAGAACTAAATGGGCAGATGAAATATTATCAGGTATGAAATCATAGTTATGAGGCTTTTATAATATTTCATTATGAAAATAAAAAGTAAAATAGACTCCCTCTTTTTAAAAAGACATTGATGAGAAAGAGAATATTTACTGTAACTAACCAATTGGTGGCCCTCTGTAAATGTGTGTGAATGTATGTATGTGTATATGTTTGTTTAAAGATTCTCTTCTAGCTGGGTGCAGTGACTCACACCTGTAATCCCAGCACTTTGGGAGGCTGAGACAGGAAGATCATTTGTGCCTAGGAGCTTGAGACCAGCCTGGGTAACATAGTGAGACTCATATCTTTTTCTTTCTTTTTCTTTTTCTTTTTTTTTTTTTTATTTTTGGAGATGGAATCTCACTCTGTTGCCAGCCTGGAGTGCAGTGGTGCGATCTTGGCTCACTGCAACCTCTAACTCCCAGGTTCAAGCTATTCTCCTGCCTCAGCCTCCCGCGTAGCTGGGATTACAGGCATGAGCCACTATGCCCAGCTAATTTTTGTGTTTTTAGTAGAGATGGGGTTTCACCATGTTGGCCAGGATGGTCTTGATCTCCTGACCTCGTGATCCGCCTGCCTTGGCCTCCCAAAGTGCTGGGATTAAGTTAGCTGGGTGTGGTGGTGTGCACCTGTGGTCCTAGCTACTCAGAAGGCTGAAGTAGGAGAATTGCTTGAGCCTGGGAGGTCGAGGCTTTATTGAGCTGTGGTCAAGCCACTGCACTCCAGCCTAGGCAACAGAACTGGACCTTGTCTCAAAGAAAATGAATATTCTCTTCAGTTTTGTCTTTTAATTCAGTGTTTCCTTGCTCTTGCTTTCTTGCATGAGATATTTCTTAGGTGCTTAGAAGAAGCTCTTAATCTCCTTATTGTTTGCTTACATCTCTCTATTTTTAACCTAAAACTGTCTCTCATCCTTTCAGACCTTCCTCCTTACCTCATTCTATCTGCATTTCCCATTACTTGCAGAATGGATTATCATTTTGGGTCCCAGGGCTTATGGAGAACTGCAATAATAGCACAAAATTGTTTAGGGTACAATTTGAGTTTCAATGAGCTACATGTTTAGAATATACCTAATATTTATAATGTGTTTCTTTGATGTGAAAATGTCTTTTAATGTTTTCCCCTAAAATTTTGACCTTTCTGATACTGCAATAACCATATAATGGAAGTATTTCTTAAATAGAACTTATATGTCTCAAGCTAAGCCTATCAGGAGGCAATGACCTCTCTTTATTAGAGCTTGAATATACTCATGATTGTATTTGGTTTAGATACCAATTCCTGGATAAATACAGTTGTAGCAAGGGTGGCAGAGTTGGCTTTCATTAATGCAAATGGAAGAGAGTATAATGACTTTATATTAAAGCACCCTGGCCAGGTGTGGTGGCTCATGTCTGTAATCCCAGCACTTTGGGAGGACAAGGTACGGAGATCCCTTGAGGTCAGGAGTTTGAGACCAGCCTGGCCAACATAATGAATTCCCGTCTCTACTAAAAATACAAAAATTAGTCAGGTATGGTGGCACACACTTGTAATCCCAGCTACTCGGGAGGCTGAGGCAGGAGAAATCACCTGAACCCGGGAGGCAGAGGCTGCAGTGAGCTGAGATCGTGCCACCGCACTCCAGCCTGGGCAACAGAGTGAGACTCTGTCTCAAAAAATAAATAAATAAAATATAGTAAAGCAACCCCTGAGACTGATTTCCTCAGAATGGGGCCGTGTGTGTGGCAGACACTAAGCACTTTCTCCCTTACTTCCTTTTCTTTTTATGCATGGACGTGAAGGGATCCTACTGTATACTTTCAAGTGTAGCACGTAGTAGGCCCTTAAATATTTAATAAATGATTAAATGCCAGGGTTTATGGGAATAAGATGATTAGAGCTAGCTTAACAAGCCCTTACTTATCAATTAATGCATTGATATGTAGCTTTACTAAAAGAACACATAATGCTTCCAATTGGTAAAAATAAAATTAGGTTCTTTCACTGCATTTGAAATTATGTAGGCTTTCATTTCCAAGGTTATTTCTCAAACACATAAACGTACAAAGTTGTCCTCTAGACCCAAATATCAAATAAAAGCATTTCATTAAAATTATAGTGTCTTTTATCATAAAGTCTTCCTGGTCTTTACTGTGTATTTCTTAGCCTGTAGTCATTTAAATTTAAGACAAGCACAGTAATGTCTTTTAATCTTCCTAGCTGACAATTAAAGAGCAACGGAAAGCCCTCTTTTGCACAAATGTTATTTTCCTTTTGTTTTCAGGACTAGTGAATTTAAAGTTTCTGCTGAATTTACTCTTTCTAAATTCCTATAATAACATATTATGTACTTTGGTTGTTATAACATAGGATAGCTAATTATCTTGAAATTAAATTCTTTTAAATTTTTTATAATCTGATTCATGTATTTCTTTAATAAGCCATTTTACTAAGATGTTTAAGTTTGTTTTTCCATTTTGCATTCTTTACCGCCAGAGGGTGATCACTGAATTAATTACAAAAGAGAAATAAACTATGCTAGAAAGCCTAAGAGTCTTTGATGATAAAAATAATTGCTCCTTCTTTTAGAGAAAAAAAAATGTTGACAGCTAAGAATGGTTGCTCAGATAGATGTGATTGATTAGAAGTACTAGTTCTTATGACTTATTGACCTAGTCAAAAAATAGTGTATCTCCAAAGCAGGAAAAGTAGCACTGCAATTCTCTATATGGACGATTTTTTGCCAGAAAATATAAATAGAAGGGAAAAATTTGATGATGTGAGAAATACTGTGTGGATTTCACTTTCTTCCAAATGTAAATATTTTGAAATATTTTACAGTAAGGAATTTATAGTGAGAGTGTTACAATCCATCTTTAGTCTTAGCTAATGAGTATATATCTTACATAATTATTTAAGAGTAATAAACATTCTTTAAGATGCACTGATAGTTTTGCAACTTTTAAAGATGAGTTTATTGGCTGCAGTGGGCTGTGATCATGCTCTCGAGAACACTCCAGCTTAAGAGACAGAGTGAGACGCCATCTCAGGGAAAAAAAAAATTATTTAAAAATTATAAAATCAACATAATTGCTACAATAAATCCAAACCTCTTGCCATGGCATTCTCAAAACCCTGTACCTGTCTTTCCAATTTTCTCTCTCATTGTATCGGTCCATATATGGCCAGTGTTCAATTATCTGGTAGTGAATTAATTCATGTTGGTTTAATTGTGTTTCAGGCATAACGGGGACCTTGGAAAAGTTCACCTTTCAAACCAAATTTATAGTTAGCATTCACTATTCTGATCTCCTAGACCAAGCTGCCTTGATCTTCTCTGGTTGAAAGGGAGAGAAAAAGGCTTGGAGAACTGCCTGTTCCACCTGTCCCTTGTGAAGGTGTACTCCAGGATAAGCTTCTCTCCTTTAGCCTAGGAAGCACAATCAAGACTAATACACAATCATGAATTGATTACAGTTTTAAGTGAGATTTTCCATGCTTTCACATATAAGTTCAGGGTTTTTTTTCGGGGTGTGTGTGTGTGTGTGTGTGCTCTCCACTTGCTCATTCACACTTACTGAGAGTTGACTATTTTTTGCTATTTTGCATTTACTCATATTTTCACCAACTTTAAATGCTCTTTCTTTTCTTTTGAAATCCTAACATCTTTTTACTCTTTCAGAGAGCATTAATCAGACCTTCATTTAATTCCCTTTCTAGTGTGCATTTTATTCTTCCTTGTATTTTAGTTAGGTGATTTTTTTTTTTTAACCATCTTTCCTACTATTTTTCAATGAGCATGTCTGTTTACCTTAGCAGCCTTGTATGGTACAGAGAGTTTAGATAGTTAATGAAAGTGGTGAATCAGAGACTGAATGAATGACTGCTAAAAAAGACCTCCATTTTCTTCTTACTGTTAGCATTTTACCTTTTGAAATACTAGAAAAATACACATGCTTATATGGGCTTCACTAAACTGCGGTGAATTAACTAAGATATACATTCAAGATACAGGAACCATCTGGTATTTGTTATAGTGACATACTCCGGAATATCTTTCATCTGTTTTTCACAGCTACAAGTCATAGGAATTCCATTTATAAATATTTCTCACTGTGTTACATAAAATCTTTCTATTTTATTTATATTCTATTTAAAATGAATGTTTTATTGTATTCTGTTTATTAGTAAACTATCCATATTAATTATCCCTTCGTTAGAAATAAAGAATAAGTCTTTCTAATCTGACACTAGACCAGTGTCAGAATCTGATTGCTTACATGAGTGGTCTACTTAATGGAGAGCTGATTGTCTGGAAAATGTATTGTGACACCATATTTTATTCTTTCAGAAACAGGTGGGTGAGATGAAACTACAGCTTGAAAATGTCATCAAGGAAAATGAAAGGTAAATCAATTAACTATTGGTTTTATCTTTTATTGTCTTAGGTAACTTTTATTTTTGTTATTTGATATTTGATAGCTATAGTATTAATAGTTAAGAATGTGGACTCTGGGGCCTGATTTTTCTATTTGACTCCTGGCTCAATTACTTGTTAGCCGTGTGACCCTGGACAGGTTACTTCCCTTTCTGTTTTAGTGTCCTCTTCTATAAATTAGATATCATGATACAACCTATTTCATAGGTCTGACTCTAAGGGATAAAGTAAGTACTTGGAGTAGGGTACAAAATAAGCACCTTACAAATATTAGCAATCAATAACGTATTATATAATATATATGTATGTTGGAAAACATATTGATAAAATGAAAACTTCTCAACATACCACTTAGCTTGAGTGTTAAAATGTTGCTAATACTGGTGCATCTATCCATGATTTTCTTCCATTTCCCATCCTTCTCTTTCTCTCTGCCAGAGATAAACACTATCTTGAATTTTGTGTTTATTATTCCCTTGCTTTTACATTTTTTTATGTGTATGTGTATCTCCAAGCAATATACTATACTTTTTAGTTTTATATTTTTAAAGACTATATAAAAATGGTATCTAGGGTTCTAGGACTTTTTTATTCAATAACACACACAAGTGCAAGAGTTTCAAGGAAGGAAGTTGCTGGATTATAGGTTATATGAATAGCAATTTTGCAATATAATATCAACTTAATTTCCAAAATAGCTATACCAATTTACACTCTTACCAGTGATATTTATGAGTTTATATTGATCCATATCTTTTAATATCTGTAGCTCTTGTTAAGCTTCCTAATTTTCATCATTTTGACTGTTAAATACTTTTTATTGTGGTTTTAATATGCATTTTCCTGAATACTAATATTGTTGACTTTTTTTTTTTTTTGAGACGGAGTCTTGCTCTGTTTCCCAGGCTGGAGTGCAGTGGCACAATCTCGACTCAGTGCAAGCTCCGCCTCCCAGGTTCGTGCCATTCTCCTGCCTCAGCCATCCAAGTAGCTGGGACTACAGGCACCTGCCACCATGCCCAGCTAATTTTTTTGTATTTTTAGTAGAGATGGGGATTCACCGTGTTAGCCAGGATGGTCTCGATCTCCTGACCTCATGATCTGCCCACCTCAGCCTGCCATTGTTGACCATTTATATGTTTATTTAACTATGTGGTTTTCTTTTCTCATAAAATGCTTGTTCATATATTTTCCCTATTTCTACTTACCTTTTTCTTATTAAATTGTCAAAGTGCATTATGTGATCTGTATTCTGAAAATTTGTTGATGTGCCAGTCAGTCTCAATGCAGTAAACAATAACCATTCTAGAAATTTCAAACAAGAAAGGATTTAATTCACTTACAGTTAAGTGCTACTAAATCTTTGGTTTTACAGTTACACCTCAGAGACTATAATCCTGAGGTCAGGAATTTATGGTGCTGCACCATCCCTATTACCATGGCAGCATCATTTCCATAAAGCTGGAGACTTGATATTGGAAAAAGGACCATATGATATTGACTACAAGAGACATTTTTGTCTATCCAGTTTTACTTACCAGCCACTATATCAACAGAAAAATGGTCTCAGCTCACTTCTGCCTTCTATATCTCCCTTAAATGCCTCTCACTGGTAAAATTTTAATCTTATCCACAACTTCAGCTGCAAGATATCTGGACAATGTAGTTTGAGACTTTTCGCCCCTGGGACAGAGGCCAGAATATGGAAGGGGACAGAAATAAATAATTAGTGCCAGTGGTTCATAGAACACATTCGATAATAGGTGTTTCAAATCTGTATTCCCAGATTGTGGTGTGTTTGACTAACAGAATTTTTTTTCTTTTTTTTTTTAACTTAAAGTATTTGAATCTCTCTTCTCCTGTGGTTATTGTTCTTTGTATCTCCCATAAGAAGTCCTTTCTCAGCCTAACATCATAGAGATCTTCTCTTATGTTTGCTTCTAAAAAATGTTTAAAGCTTTTCCATACCAAATTTCTTAACTTTAACCCATAAAATTCATATAACTGGACTGAAATCTGATACATCTTTTTTTGTTGACTTTTAACTAGACTAAATATCCAAAGTTTTTTTAGTTCTAAATTTATTCAAAACATGAGCTCTTTTAAAGTTTGACATTCTTTTATTGTATTCTTCTATATTATATAGTAATTTTATTTTTATTTTAATTGCATTTATTTTAGTGTAGCTATTTTTAAATTAATACATGCTGTTCCTTAAAATTATATAGCACACCCATGGAATTGTCTTGCCCTTGGCTATTTCATGATTTTCTCTTCCTTGTATTTTCCATTAGTTTTCTTTCCTTCTAATTTCCAAAAACTTCACATATTTAAGCTGTCAGTGTTTACTGAAGTGCAAAATAAAGTAAATCTTTTAATTGGGCTTTTAGTTTTTCTCACTTATTTTTGTTTTTTTCCCATGGGAAATTTTTTTAATCTTAATATTTTATGATTTACTGTTCTTTTCCAAAATACTTATTAAGCAGGAATATACTCTTCCTAGTAAAGAATATTATAAAGATTTCTGAATCACCAATATACTTAGATAAAGCTTGTATATTAATGTGCTGAGAATAGACAAGGTATTTTATGGTTGAGATAATCATTTAATTGTTTCCTATATTGGACTTTATATTATTCCTTTCATATCCAGGTCTTTTGAAGCCAGTCTTTAAAATTTGCCTTCACCTATTTAACGGTAATGCAGTCATGTCTCATGAATATGTTTATTCCTAGTACAATAGGAAAGTGTAAAAAAATGGATTCTAAGTTTATTAAAGACACTTTTGGTAACTTGATAGTGTTAATCAGGTTTTAAAGTGAACTCTACTGATTATGTCATTAGGACAACATCCTACTTTTAATTATATGTTGCAGCTAAGGACTACAAAATCAAAAGAATTTATTATTTTTAAGGAAAATACCTTAAATAAATATACATGGACAGGTCTAAATAATGGAATCTAGCAATGGCGTGGATTATGTAAAAGTATACAGTTTCACATTACTGAATTTTGGAAAAATTTTAATACTTACATTTATAAATCAGAGTATATTATCTGAGAATTTACTACAAATAGGAAATAATGAAGTCATTTTATAAAACTCAGACTGAGGAAAAAGTAAAAAAAATACATATTATTATTATTAGTATTCTCCCTTCCATTTTGAAATCCTTGAAATGTATTTCATATTGAGATTATAGAGGTTTTTGTTTTGTTTTGCTTTGTCTTGTTTCTTTTTCAATACTATTTTTTCCTCCTCTCATAACTTTCCAGAGGAAGGAAATTGAGTAAGATAATTGAATAAATGAATGAATACATGTACAGCATTTTCTGATACTAAGTAAATACAAAGTAAATTTTATTGTTCTCATTTTTTATTTTACTATTGATGGTATGGAAGACATCATCTATTGCCAGTACAAGAGCTGTTTTTTTCCTTCATACATAGTCACATAACCCTAATTTTGTTCCAGTGGCAATGTGCTCAGGGAAGATGAGCTTCTTCCACAACCTGAGATAATAAATCATTGACCTAAACCAGTTTTTATGTCTTTTTGCCAGGAACTGGCTTGGAAGCGGACATGTGACCTAGTTTTAGCCAGTGAGATATAAAGGAAAGTCTCTTGTGGAGCTTCTGAAAAAGCTTTTTCTCTCTGATAAGAGGAGAGAGAGCAAAAAGAAAGCTTTCCCCTTTTCCTGCTCCCTGTCATTTTAGAAAGTGATGTGTGAAGCTGCTATAGCCATTTTTTAACTATGTGTGTAGGTATCAGCAACATGAGAAGATTAGTAGAAGAGAAACATGAGGAAACCTTTGCAAAGTCCTTAAAAGATATTATTGAGCTGCTGAAGCAAATCTGGAACTGTATACCTTCCAAGTTAATATTAGGTGAAGTAAGAAAATAGTCATTCACAACTGTTGAGTGATTACTAAATGTCAGGCACCATTTAACGCTTTGAGATACATTAGTGAATAAAATAGACAGAAATGGCTATTCTCATTTATTTGTTGGGTGTTTTATTACTTGTAGCCAAAGTGTACTGATAAAGAGATTTAATTACATCTGTCAGGGTTTCACAAACTGTAGCTTGTGGGTCAAATCTGGCCTGCCACATCTTTTTATAAATAAAATGTATTGGATCACAGCCATGCTTAGTCATTTAAATCTTGTCGACGGCTGCTTTGTTTTATGTGCCTATGAAGTTGAATAGTGGTGACAGAGATTGAATGGCTCACAAAACCTAAAATATTTATGTACTCTCTGGTCCTTTACATAAAAAGTTTACTAATCCCTGATACATGGAATGTTCTTTCACTGCAGAATCTCTTAAACTAGTCTTTAACAGTCACTAAAAAGTATTTTTGAAATTTAAAACTATCTGAAGATATTTAGGCATATTTATATATAGCTTTAGAACACAGAAACGTAAAACTTCAACAAGATTATAAAGTTAGTATTTAGTATATAGTTAGTATATGAATCTAGTATGTAGTAATATTTGGCATCTTGTTATTTTTTATTTTCTGATAGCCTGATATTTATTATTTTAGATTACAACTAAATATGATACAGATTTAAATAGCATTATACAATGGAATTATTTTAAAAACATTTTTATTGATGTGCTTTCATAATTTGACTAATGATAATCAATGGTATGATATTAAATATGATTTTACTTTCCCTAATTATGCCATTCAAGTGTGCTGACAATATCCTATGAATACGGTATAGTAAATATTTATTATCTATTTGAAATTTGGGAAGGAGTTCATGTATATATTTACCAAAACAATAACAAAGCTATTATTTTTCAAAGCTAGCCAAGAAAAAGGTATTCTCCTCCCTTCAAATTGATTTGTTTATGGAATTTCAGAAGATGCGATATAAATGCTTTTCCTATTCTTGAGTGAAAAAGAGAAAAGAAATCTCTGGGATGACATGGTCAACACCACTATGCTGGTG